TGCAGACCATGTCCATATTCTTGTTAGTAACATTGAACTTAAAAACTAATGTTAGTACACATTATATATATGATTTAATAGGTAATATACAATTTACAAAAATAGAGACAGACAGGACAACACAAAATCATGCTATTAATTATAATATTTAATTTAATTTAACTAAAATGTCAATATTACTATAATTACGGCGCAAGTCCCGCGGAGAGTCTACAACATCTATTTACTATTGCGCAATCCAGTCGGCCAGATATCATTTTCAGGATGCTGTTGTTGCTACCCCTCACCCTCCGCACTAGGGATGTGCATCTCTTACGCATTACTGTATAAAAACAATCTACGCGGGCTTCTGCAAACATTCCCGAGGCACTACAAAAACATGGTATGTTACTTCTTTCCATACAACTGGAGTTGAGCATCAAATATTATTCAGATAGACGTGATGCACAAACTTGTTCCTTTAGCGACAATTTTGCCGACGAATACTGCGAACGAAATCATGAGTAGACCGATGATGTGGTTTAATAAGAAGTCCTCGCCGATTTCCAACATGTTTAGCAATAGCTAGTGGATACGAGATTCTTAGGTGCGCTTTGGGTACCTACACTAGAAAAAACTTACTTAGTCCAAATAAATTGTTCGACACGGAGTTTCGTTGAAAAATATTTTTTGCGTCGAATTTAAGGAATAATGTAGGAAGTGACATATCGTTTTAGAATCCTTATTAAATGCTCCTACTATTGTGAAATTTGCCACGACTACTGCAGTACAAATTTTCAGTACAGTCACTTAACCTGAGGTGAACAGTTTTGAACCACTATTAGTATTCACAGGGAGGAACAATTAAACAAAGAGTAATTACTACCGAATATTTTAATTTTATAAAAATTTTACATTCACAAAGATTTAACACATATGCTACACTTATTTAACACACGTCAGACGGCGTACCCATAACCATGAAAATCTTGTTCAACTGGTCTAAATCAGATTTGCCAGGGAACAGTGGCGACAAGGTAATTAATTCAGCAAATATACACCCAACACTCCACATGCCTATAGGAGTTGAGTATTCTGGGCTAAGTAGCAGAAGTTCAGGCGCACGGTACCACCGTGTGACCACGCCCGGGGTATATTGTTGAAGAGGGAATCCATATTCTCGAGCCAATCCAAAACCTTTACAACACCATCTTGAGACAAAAGTATGTTGTCGGTCTTGAGATCTCTATGTATAACGTGATATGTGTGTGTGGGCCGGCTCGATCGGAGTGATATCACGGCCTTACAGAAAATCGACGTGGAACAACGCTTGCGTTGTGTTTCGTCATGTGAGTGAGGTTACCGGAGGGCCAATTCTCCCGAATCCCCGAATCCTCAAATTCCCAATTCCCAAAAAGCCGGTAACGAACTTGTAACGCCTTGGTGTTTCGAGTCTCCATGGGCAGCGCCGATTGCTTACCATCAGCTGATCCGTCTGATCGTTTACCGGCTAATGGTATAAAAAAAAAATTGTATATCAGATGGCACTGGAAGACTACTGAAGATTGACAATTTAAAGAAAAATAGAGAATACAAACTATGACTATAGTAAATTAAAACACGGGACCCGGGTACGTCCTAAAACTGCGACCAGACACCGAGGAATGGGCTGCAGCATTCCATAAATATATCGGTGACCTAACTGCGATCCCCAAGCCGCCTGCCAAGCGTGGGGATTATGGCAAACCCCCCCCCCTCACTATGAACGGCAACCTAAATACACGGCCCCCAGTCCCCGGCAGCTCCGCTATTCCTGATCTTGGTAGCGGATCGGGTAACGGCGGAGCAGGGGGTGCTAAGAATCCCCGGCAGATGAACCGCTACCACCCCCGACGAACTTTGGCCCTGGCAACACATAACATCCGCACTCTGCGGACCGATGAGAAGATTGTCGAGCTGGAGGAAGAATTGAGCAAAATGCGTTGGGACATCTTGGGACTGTCTGAAATCCGAAGAGAGGGCCAGGATACGATGGTCCTGGATTCCGGCAACTTGCTCTTCTTCCGGGAAGGAGATCAAAAATCCCAGGGTGGTGTCGGATTTCTCGTCCGCAAGTCCCTCGTCAACAACGTGAGTAAAGTTGACAGTGTGTCGAGCAGGGTGGCGTACCTTATACTCAGAATATCACACCGGTATTCGCTGAAGGTCATACAGGTATATGCGCCGACCTCGACACACTGCGATGATGAAGTAGAGGCTCTGTATGAGGAAATTTCCCAAGCCATACACACCTCCGAAGCTCACTTCACCGTTGTCATGGGGGATTTCAACGCGAAGGTGGGCACACGGAACGGCGAAGAGCTGAGAATGGGGCCATTTGGGTATGGGCAGCGAAACCGTCGGGGCCAGCGGCTGGTCGACTTTATGGAGAGGGAGAGACTCTTTCTAATGAACTCCTTCTTCCGAAAGCGACCAGCTAAGAGGTGGACGTGGATAAGTCCCGATGGTTACACCAAAAATGAGATCGACTTCATCATGGCGACCGACAAGCGCATATTCAGTGATGTCTCTGTGATAGCTAAGGTGAAAACCGGCAGCGATCACCGTATTGTCAGAGGCACACTGAATATCAATGTCAAGCTGGAGAGGTCACGCCTGGTGAGGTCCACACTCCGTCCTGGTCGCGCCCAGGTCCAGAACCCCGAACAGTTCCAGCTCCAACTGCATAATCGCTTCCAGTGCCTGGCTGAGTGTGAAACGATTGACGAGTTAAATAATGGGTTAGTGGAAACTGTCCAAGCGGTGGGCTCAGAGTTTTTCAAAAATCCACGCCGAAATAGACCTCAAAAGCTCTCGAAAGGAACACTTAAATTATTGAAAGACCGACACGAGATGAGGCTGCAGTCTTCAGTTGACATGTCTGGATATGGCAAACTTAATAGGCGAATTTCAAAGTCTATGCGACGCGACCTGCGTGCATATAACGCCGCACGAGTCAGGGATGCCATAGAGCGAAATCAGGGCGCAAAAGTATTCGCAAGGAATTCGTCTGTTGGGCAAAGCCAAATGACGAAACTGAAGACCGAAAATGGCAGCATCGTTTCGTCGAAGCCAGATATTCTGAGAGAGCTTGAAAGGTTCTACGGACAGTTATACACCTCGACACGGCAACCCATTGTCGGTACAGCTCGGGATCCAAGAGCTAAACTGACACGGCACTATACCGAGGATATCCCAGACATCAGCCTGTATGAGATTAGGATGGCTCTCAGACAGCTCAAAAATAACAAGGCACCGGGTGATGACGGAATCACAACAGAACTTCTGCGAGCGGGTGGAAAACCGATACTTTTAGTCCTCCAGAAACTATTCAATTCCGTCATTCTCGAAGGAACTACGCCGAAAGCATGGCAAGGGAGTGTAGTGGTTCTGTTCTTCAAGAAGGGTGACAACTCTTTGTTGAAGAACTATAGACCCATCTCGCTTCTGAGCCATGTATACAAGCTGTTTTCTAGGGTCATCACGAACCGTCTCGAACGCAGGTTTGATGACTTCCAGCCTCCCGAACAAGCCGGGTTCCGGAAAGGCTTTAGCACCATAGACCACATTCATACGCTGCGGCAAGTTATACAGAAGACTGAGGAGTATAACTTGCCACTATGCTTGGCGTTTGTGGACTATGAAAAAGCCTTTGATTCGATCGAGACCTGGGCGGTGCTGCAGTCTCTCCAGCGATGCCATATCGACTACAGATATATCGAGGTGCTAAAGTGTTTGTATAGAAACGCCACCATGCGCATCCGACTCCAGGAAGATAGCACGGAACCAATCCAATTGCAGAAAGGCGTGAGACAGGGAGACGTGATTTCTCCGAAACTGTTCACCAACGCATTGGAGGACGTTTTCAAGCTTTTAAACTGGAGTGGACTGGGCATCAATATCAATGGCGAATACATCACACACCTCCGCTTCGCCGATGATGTAGTCATCATGGCGGAGTCGCTGGAGGATTTAAACACCATGCTCAGCGACCTCGATATCGTCTCCCAACAGGTGGGTCTTAAAATGAACATGGACAAGACCAAAATCATGTCAAACGTCCATGTTGCACCTGTACCGGTCATCGTTGGGAACGATATCCTCGAAGTTGTAGACCACTACACATACTTAGGGCAGATTATACAGCTAGGTAGGTCCAACTTCGACAAAGAGGTCGCCCGAAGAATCCAACTTGGATGGGCAGCGTTCGGGAAGTTACGCGAAATCTTCTCATCGAAAATCCCTCAGTGCCTAAAGACCAGGATGTTCAACCAGTGTGTGTTGCCGGTGATGACGTATGGTACCGAGACGGGGTCCCTGACTTCTGGTCTTCTGGAGAAGCTCAAAGTCGCTCAGCGTGCGATGGAGAGAGCTATGCTCGGGGTTTCTTTGCGCGACAAAGTCCGAAATATGGAGATTCGCCAAAGAACAAGAGTTACCGACATAGCTCGCAAAATCTGCAGACTGAAGTGGCAATGGGCAGGCCACGTCGCTCGAAGGACTGACGGCAGATGGGCCAGGAAAGTCCTTGAGTGGAGACCACGGACCGGAAGACGAAGCGTGGGCAGGCCTCCCGCTAGGTGGACCGACGACATCGCCAGAGTTGCGGGGAGCCAGTGGATGCGGGTGGCGAGTTGTCGTTCGACGTGGAGGGCTAAGGGGGAGGCCTTTGTCCAGCAGTGGACGTCTTCCGGCTGTTGATGATGATGATGAAAATAAAACATTATTAAACATTATTTATAATAAAAACACGTATTATTATTTACAAAGTTCATAGTTGACAGGTTTTATAGTTATAATCTTCGCCTAAAATATTTTTTATAACTGAAAAAATTTAACTCACAGTTTTTATTACATGATCATGATATGGCGTAACTATGTAGTTGAATACTTACCTATGTCCATCTATAGATGGTCTATAGTGTATTAGAATATTGACTGGAAAGCTAATTGAGTCTAATCATCATCAGTACAATTAATGGTCAAAGAAATGATTTCATAGCTTCAGTAGTAGACGTCGCGTTATAAAATAGAGCTTCGATTAAATTATTTTTCAAAGAATCTTCCTCGTCACTATAACTTGAAGCTTCTACAATTCTCTTTAAATATGTATTTGTAATTTTACCAACACCTTTTACAGGCTTAGGCTCCGATTGTCTAAAATACTCGTCAAAAGGGTAGTAATAATCTTGTAATTTTTTGAAGTCAATAGTTAGCTTAGGGCGGCGCTGTCGTCGCTTTTTGTCGGCTCTGTGATGGATTTTATTTTCTTTTGTACTTAAATGGTCTTTTTGTTCGTGGAAGTAAGGGAATGGTGTATTTACATACAGAGGTGTGATTGTTACAGATTGATCTTTAGTTGGTCTGCGATGTAAATTCAATGTGTAATATTTTGTAGTTCTCTCACGGGTTGGTTTCAAGTGATCTTTCGAAGATACTATTTTGTAACGTCTCTGCGTTTTTGTAATACTTTTAAACTTTAAGTATTCACTTCCATTATTCTCCATTTGTAGTCTATTAAACTTGTCCCTGTTTCGATGTTCTGCCCTTTTCTTTACGTTTCTCTTTACTTCGCTGTCAGAGAGTGTAGTTGATAGATGTGATTTGTCCGACCTTAAAGGCATTTTGGAAATTGATAATTGCGGCCAATGTTTCGTCTCCATTGCTGTGAAAATTAGATAGAGAATAATTTAGTGAAATTTTATGTCTCTGGATGTGTGGTCAACATGGAGAGACTCCACCGCGCCTTAATTTGTACTTTAACTTTGCTTGCACGATACTGCCAGGCTATTTTGTGACTATCAATTCTAAAGATCGAAGTGAAGTGGACTGCGGTCCGCTATGTCGTTGGTTGCGAGAATAATTTCGACCAATGACGGGCGATAAAGCGATCGATCGAGAGGTACAGAACAGGTACAGAATAGACTTTGCTTGTCGATGACACTATAATTAGTTACATTAAACTTACCGTTCCTTCCAAGGTACAAAGAAGCAAATCTTTCTGATTCTGCTTTTAAATTCGGTGCAGATGCAACAGTTTTAGAAGGTGATTGGCTGGAAGAGTAAACTGAACGAAAAGTAAATTGTTCAGACTCACTTCGAGTTGGAAGTGCGACTGTAAAATGTAGTTTATCTTTATAATAAATTGGAATATTAGGAATTGCAAATGTAGATTCATAGCTTGACTGTTTAGGCTGTAATGTAACAGTACTTGGTTTAAATGTAGTTCTTAGTGTAGAGACAGATTTGGCACGTAAAATATTTCCAGTTATTACTGGAATTGGGAACAAAGGTTGGCTGACGTAATCAGGTAATTTATGCGGTTTTAAAAAACTGTTAGTGGAAATAGATTGATCGAAGTTAGAGTTGGTCGCGAATGATGCAGTTCTAAGGTTCGAACGTGTTGTCCCTTTCACTCCTTTGTTATTTCTAAATATTTCTTTCTTTGATTTGTTTTTTTGCAACATTTTGTTTAGGTCTCTGTAGAAGGCGTTCACCATATTCATGAGGTCCTCGTGCTCTTTCATAAGTATCGTTTCGTTAAATGTATCAGTAAAAGCGATACTGACTTTTGATGCTGCTGTGAACATATTAAACAATGTGATATTAAACAATACGCTCAGACAACCACAGACAGGGCTCACTTGGGTCGATGCCCGTCAGAAGTACTGCAAGGTTACCAGGGTCCAATGAAACAGGACTTGAAACAGGGTGGTTTTTAGTAAGTAAGAGTCTGACACTCCCTCTCATCTCATCCAGGGTGAGTTGAATCATTTGATGGTTTTCGTCCTCTCAAAAAAGATTGGTAATATTTCTTTTTGTTAAACTGAAAATTACTTAAATCATACCTGTCGTGTTAAAATCACAGTTGACTAAATTATAATTTAAGATCACAGTTAACAACACTATCAGCTTTGTAATCCTCATACTGCTTTCAATGTCTCTTGGTGTTCATCCGTATTTCATAATATTAAAAAAACTATTTTTTGTCCACAAAATGATCCACTACATAATAATATTTGTGTTGGATTAAGGGGACCAAATGCTATTTTTATCAGTAACTTTTTGATATATTCAACTTCTAGTATACCACGTGAATTGAAACAAACTGTATGTTTATAATAAATCAATATTTAAAGTCGTATTTCAAAAAGGAGGATTTGAAAACGACGAAATATATAAATCTTTTAACATTGAGTTTAAAATCAGTAACAATTCCAATGTTTATTGTCAATAAAATAGTTGTAATAATTTTATTGGATTACAAATATAAAAATAGTTGCTCGCGCAATGTATAACTAGTTTTATGATACAATAAAATGTAAGTATTTTTATAATAAAATGAAAGTGTTCGCTTGTGTTTTGCTGTTCACTATATTCGGTATTTATTTCGATTATATTTCTCATTGAGTCCCTCTCGAATGCACTTACTTGTATTTGTAATTTAATAAAGTAAAAACAGAAGATATTTATTATAATTTTTTTGTCAAGTGCTTGTAGGAACAACTACTGAATGACAAATTTAATAATTATTTGTATCTACAATCTCACTAGTATTTGTAGGTGTTTCTACACTTCCAATTTCTTGGCATATCATTGAATTTAATATAAATCTTTCGTGTATTTCAATTGTTACCACCTTTAGTAATGTGTAGGACATATATCAGCTATCGACAGTACACTAAAAATTAATAAAACAGTTCTCATTTTCCAGCACAAACAAACACACTACAACCGCCATCAAAGTATTCAAACAGAAATGTCAATTTTGCTTTAGAAACCGTTCTAAAATTTGATAAAGACCAATCAGGTGACAGACAACTTCTAAATACTGTTGAAAAGTATATCAACAAAGTTAAAGATGCAATGCATAATGATAAACCGAAGGACTTCAGACGTCAGTTAACAGCTGATAGAGACGACACCTTCACTAGTTTCATCCAACAAGCTATCAACATACTCAAAACATATGACGATACTGGTTTCCGTGTATTTTTCCAAATCTTAGACGATGAACTAAGAAACTGTCACTACATTGGCAGCAAGTTCTACGAGCTAACAGAAACTTATGAGACAAGAATGGTTCTGAGTGAAAAACTAGACCTAATCAAAGGCAAACCTGTATTCAAAACCAGATCTATAATTAATTCACTTGGAGATGCGCTGAGAACACAGAAGTATGATAGCAAGGTGAAAGATTTCGTTGATTTTCTCAATTCTTTATATACACAGGACGATGAAAAGAAATTCCACAAAGTACTGAAAGATTTGGAAGCTTATAGTAGAACAAAATCTTGGTTTGACGATAATTTAGTCAAAGTTATTAGAGAAACAGTCAGGTCTTTGATCTTCGACCACTATACTGACTTAAACACAAACACTAGAAGAGAACTGAAAGAGAGGATTGCTTCTTTCTTGAAGCATTCTAAAGTGTCTCCTACAACGACTGGGAGAACTAGTTTCATTACAGACGTTAGACCTAATGGAAGAATCGAAACCGTATCAAATAAAAGACGAAGTATAATAACAGCAAAAAATATATCTACAAGTCCAAGTCCAATACACAAAATTGGAAGACTAGGTTTTGATAACTCAGAACCAGTCTATAAAGACATAAGCGCATCGAATATGAAATATAAACCTTCCGAAGAATCTGAAAGCAATTCCATCGAACAATCGCAAGAAAAACCAACGGAAGTTCACCACACCACCGGACGCTATGTAACTTTATATGAAGAGGAAATTTCACCTGCAGAGACCATACAGACAACACAGTCGAAGATACCCGATGTATTCGCTAACGTACAGAGATTCAAATTGGACGACCACAAACATGCGCTTAGATTGACTAACACAACAACGGAATCAGTGCAATGGAATATTCCAAGAAAAATTAATGTCATGGATTCGTACAAGCGAGTTATTGAATCGTTAAAGAAAATTGGAAGGTAATTCTTTTCCTATTTTGATTGGTTGTGAAATATATTTACTAAATCAATTATTTCTATTCCAGTGTATCCATTATTGATATGCATAATTCGCCCACGAAGGCAATATCAAAGAATTATACAATACCTCCAAAAAGCATAAAATTCCATGCATTATTAAACGTAGAGCCACAAACAACCAGCTCCGCGAAATGGCATGTTGGTGAGAAGACAAAACACAATCAGACTTTTGCATCAGGTCATGTCCACTCCGATGAAGAACGATCAGAACGATCCGTGGATCAAACCCAAAAGGATTTAGAAAAAGAAAGAAAACATTTAAGAAGATCTTTAAGCAACGACAGGGGAAATCTAGGAGTACAAGACCTCAGAATCATCCTCGAAAGGCTAAATTATTTAGAGAAACAAATAGAGGAACTAAAGCAACCCAACGTTCTAAGAGGTTGTCCAACGAACGACAAAAACCAAACTGTAAAATGTTTAAGTAGGAGTAGTAATGGAAGAGATAAACATGGCGACGCATTTGGCGATATTGTTATTAGGAAATGTGATAGATGTAACGTTTCCAGGTTATATAGAAAGGTCTTGAAGACAAACAAAACGCAACTGTATCACACAAATGGGAAATTAAGTCATAAACTTAAAGCAGATCAAACAAAACAGAGATCAACTCAAACGTTGCTATTGAAGGACAGACAAAGAGCAAGAGAAACTACGTCAACGGTAAATTTGTCTCAAGTAACACACAATAAAATGATTCGTGACTTCACTGAAACCTATCCTCTAGGTGCTAGCTATACCCCAACGGATGGCGGAAGGAGATCTAAGAATAGAATCAGAAATAGTGATAAGAAATCTAAAAGACATACAACGAATAGAGGAAGGTCTACAAAAGTTTTAGAGTTTTCGTCTCCCCCACACTATGATATATTTCACCCATCTGTCGTGTGGTGATTGAAATAAATATTTATTTAATTATTTATTCTGAGTTATGAATAAAACTTTCTTTAACTTAATTTTGCCTTATGTTGCATTTGTCTTTGAATATACTTCTTTTTTCCGAATGTCAGTCGAAGTGTGTTCCCTCAAAAACTCATATTGTTGTGCTCGACAGGGTCCATATTGTGCCTCAATTATGTCTACCACCTAAGTCACACATGTAGAAAGCAATAAACATTTATGTATTGAGTATTTTGCGACCTTTACAGTGTTTTATTTTACCTAAATCTTTTAAATTAATTTATCAAATTCGAGCAGTTCAAATTACAATATGCTGCTCACTACAGTTGCTGTAAACTCTGATTCAATTCCCGTGTCACAGCTTTTCTATTTGGAAAATCTCTATAATATTATATTTTTTAATTATTTATTACTTTAGGATTCTGTGACCTGTCGGCTTAGTACAAGTATGTTAGGTATACTATGTTTAAAGTAATCGAAACGAGATCGCGTTCGGCGCTGTGATTGGCCGGCTATAATGAACCAACCAAAAAAACTCGTACTAAGGCCTCGGCAAGGACCGCACGTTTGTACCAACGAAATGACATGTTGAGTGCGCCATCTATTACTTCTTTCTGGTAACTATAGTTCCAGAAACAAGTAATAGATGGCGCCATCAACTATTGTTTTATTGCATGTCGGTAGATGTCGCTACAACTTGTTCTTTGTATTAAGCTGAATACCAAACAATATTAAAAATACGTTACTAATAGATTGTGTTTGTTTTATCTTAAGCTTCATCTACTTAATCAACGTTCTTGGATTTTTAGTACATATTGCTGTTGAGAGTATGTCTCTCTTAACCCGTCGTGTATCTAAACGTGGATTCACGCGAGACACAATGTATCTTCTATTGCGTCTCATACACGGACATTCAAGCGGTTAAAGGCTAATGCAAAATACGAATGAGAAAGTGTCATTGGTCTCCATATACCTATACAGGGTACAGATTGAGTGTTGAAAGACTATTCAACGCTAAAGTTTTATCAAACCTACATACTAGAGATATAGTTGGCGGAGTGATCACAAGCGCAGAATAAAATACCGACCGACCTACAGTCAAGGACGTTGAAAAAAAGATGGACATAGTCTCTTGAAACAACGACTGTGGCACCTGGCTACTATAGACTTACACGCAGAATACACACACATTGACACGAAGGACACGTGCCACGTGGCATGGCCCGTCATTACACGTCATACATTACGATGTTGCAAGTACACGCACACATAAATACACCACTGACATTTTGGTGCTTCAGTCATTTCTAAGTGACATTACGACCACCTTTTTTTCCACAACTGCCTCGTTGGCTGAGTGGTCGCAAGTGCGACTACCGGCCAGGTTCGATTCTTGGTAGGGCAAAGTATTATTGGGTTTTTAAAATATTCTCAGTCTCTCACTCACGGTGTCTGGAATTGCAATTATACAAATTATACCCGGTATATGGCAATAGACTCTTATTACATACATGGGACTCATAACATAAATAGTAAAAAGTGGGTATTACATTGTACAGTGGCATAATGTGCACCTCTGCCTACCCCTTCGTGGATAATGGTGTTATGTTATGTTATGTGTTTTTCAACGTCCCGTCGTTGTCTGCAGCAATTAACTTAAATGATGGCCTTTCTATATACATTTACTTATACACAATCAATTACACATAACAAAACTAGATGGCGTTATATTGTAAAGTGATTCATCTCGTATTTATTTATGCCAGTAGGGCAGACACTGATTTTCGTTTCTGATTCAAAGTTGTTGGATTTGTTAATAAGAGGGACTAATTAAATTTATTATTGTAGCATACGATATTTTATCCTAAAAACCAAGTTGTAGTTTTTTAAAGTAGCGTTCCAACTGCTGTTAAAGTGTTCAAAACCTTCGTCTTGTTTTTTTCGAATTGCTTGATTATGTATTTTCTGGTGATTGTAGTTCGATATTCTCTATACAATAGTGTCACTAAAGCAGCATAT